CATATCTCCCTATTAACTATAGCACGAATTCCTTCAAATACTTAAAAGCACAAAATTAAAAACAAACCACAGCATTCTTGTGTCACTAACGTTCCCATCTCGGAAACTATTGGTATTATCATTAATTCGGTGTATAAAAATAATTTAATTCTACCTCCATCAATCCAACCCAATATTTTAAGAAAACTATTGCTCGCTTGCACCATTAGAGTTCCTATTTATAGCCAGAATGGTACTATTTACACACAAACTGATGGAGTTAGTATGGGAAACTCTCTCGGGCCGTGCTTCTCCAATTATTATATGTCCTGTGTTGAAAACAAGGTTTTTACTAAAGTTATTAAACCTGAAATATATGTTCGTTATGTAGACGATATTTTTATTTTAGCTGAAAACAAGAAATAAACAGAAAATCTGAAATCTACATTTCAACAAAATTCCGTCCTAAATTTTACTTATGAACACAATAAAAAAAATAATCTTCCTTTTTTAGATGTTCTCGTCGATTTTAGTAATAATACTTTTAAAAATTCTGTTTATAAAAAAACAACTCGTAAAGACTCTTGGCATCTTAATTTCTCTAGTGAATGCCCTCTTAGATATAAAATAGGTGGTATTAAAAATTTCCTCACGAGAGCGCACAAGAACTCATACTTTCGCACTCTTTTCTTTAAAGAATTAAACAATGTTAAGCAAACGCTGATTAATAACGGATTTCCTAATCAATTGTTGGATTTCCATATAAGGCGTTTCCTGTCTAAGGTAGCTAATAGCAACGGCTGGAATAGAAACATAAACAATAACATTAATATTTTTTATAAAAATCAGATGAACAAAAATTATAAACAGGATGAATGCAGAATTAAGAACATTATAAAAAAATGCATAACACCAGTTGACAATAGCAAAAATTAGATTAATTATTTATCACAAAAAATTTAAAACCTCTAAACATATAGTTAAAAATAATATTTCACCTCCTAGAAGAAAATTAAATAGGGCAAATATTATTTACGAATTTAAATGCCCATTAAGGAATTGTATTCCTGATCAATCAAAATTCGTAAATAATTATATAAGCCACACTACAACATGTTTGACACGCAGACTCACCCTACACCTTTCTGACCATAGCTCAATTAGATCTCATTTAAATATTCATGGATACCTAGCGGACACTATTCGTAACATACTTGTTGACAACTCAAATATAATAGCATCATCTACATGCAAAAAAAGCTAAAATTAATGGAAGCCTTATTAATAAAAACAAACCAACCAACACTTAATAATATTAACTTTGAACATGGATATAATATCTTGAGCGTGTTTTGAAAAATGAAAACATTTAATAAAACATACATACAACAAACTAATTCTTATTTTAACAGTTAAAATATAATCCTTGAAAATAGCTAAATGTATAGCCGAAAGCGCTCGGATAAAAAGAACATTCGGTCAGTTTTTATATAATTTATCATCCGAAAAGAAAAAATTATTAGATCGCATAAAAATTGTATAAGAAACTAAATAAAAGCACCTTTTCTGTCGTTTTCAATGAAATGTGCATGAAAGAAGGATTGCTGACTAAACACACACACACACACACACACACACACACACACACACACACACACACACATATATATATATATATATATATATATATATATATTCTCATAGAAGATACGAAGAGGTTACAGCCACATAGTCCCTAACAATGTTTATGTATCTGCATTCATTTGTTGTATAAATTTTACACACATTTCCATCTTCAGATAGATATATATGTATGAATTCATATCTTTGTGTAATGCCTATAAATTCAACACATTTTTATAGAAATATATTCGAATCTAGAGCTGGTCTCGCTGGAATCCTGAGTTCAATCCTTATCCTGGTACAGCATTAGATATAAGTAAATATCTTCATAGAAAGGTTTTAATCTATATACAGATTACAATATTAAGTAACTAATTCAGAGGAATTGTAAGTAATTTAATATTACAGATTATTACGAGTGGTTTCAATTCTAAGTTCCTATTATTGACTCATCACAATGACGAATTACATATACACATATATACACATACAATTAGAGGTTAACATCAGTGTCATTACATATCATATCAGGAACATTGAGCACTTTTAAACTATAAATATAGCATTGTAGCATGCCCTAAAACGATATTTTATCATACTGAATCCGAGAAATGAAATAGCTATTTTTTGCCGTCATTGTCAAAAATTTTCCTTAAATAATATTTAAAAATAAAATTAAAAAATGGGAGCTGGTAATATACATACTTATATTTGATATGTAAAAATAATTTTAAATAATGTAAGTAATTCTATTACATTTACTTGGTTTTAAAAAGAAATATAGTCTATTAGTAATTAAGAGTAAAAATATTTTAAAATTGTAGTTAAATAAAACGTATTCTAACACAAACACACATAAAAAGAATCTTTAAGTATACAAGTAAGAAAAAAATGCCGAAAAACTTTTTGCCGTTAATAAAAAAAAACCCCAGACATGCATTTAACGCACGTCAGAATTCGTTGAAAAATACACCCCTACCCTCCCTAGACTTAACCTCTTTTTCCGAACGTAACTCATAATTGATACAACAATAGTTAATAAAAATGAACACGCTACCGCTCCTGTCTGAATGACTGGATTTCTCTGTATCCTTGGAAACAGGAAATTATGAATTTATATGTGCGTTTAAAACTCAGTTAATTTAAAAATAAGTTATTCCAATATTCGCTTGAAGATGAAACGGAATTATGCTTTTAATTTAATTATATAATTAAATTTAAAGTTTTTAGCTTCCATTTGTGAAACACGGTTATTACTGTGTAGCGAAAAACATTTTAAATCAGTTAATTTATAATATTTATGCTCTATAAATTTACATTGAGCACTGTTTTGTAAACATAAAAATAAAAAATATCAATAAGAACACCGGATTATATATCTTACTGTTCTTTCTTTATATATATATATATATATATATATATATTTATATTATATATGTTTTATTTTAACATGTACATATATATATAATGTTTTGTAATTTTTAAAATCACTTCGCCTCAAGCAAGGCGATAATGCCACTAAGACGGAGGAGAGTGACAGGGAGAAAAGAGAAGATTTTAGTGAGAAGATATAGATATCTCTATCTATAAAAGGCAGGATGTGTGTGTGTGTGTGTGTGTGTGTAACGAATGTACGGCCGCAATTTTCGACGGATTTGCATCAAAATTTACATGCACATGCTCCAAGTTAGCGGGAAGGCCAAGACCGACTTTACATTTCCCAACTCCCATCGATTGTGGAAATAATCGATATTCTCATTCTTCTACGGCAGTTTTCATGTAGTTTGCGGCCATTTTCTACTGGCCAGAATGAGAGCCTATAGCTGGCTGCCACGAATAGGCAGGAAGATTATATTGGCCAGCGTGAGAGCCAACAGCTGACTGACATGAATGTTAACTAGCATGCTAGTATGCAAAAAAAATCGATAGCTGCATTCGTCACAAGTGGGATAAAATTTAAATCTGCATTGCACTTTACTCCAGTTGGCTCATTCGCTTGCTTAAACTCAACGTTGATTCTGATTCCGCGGAAATGGGTTGGGTGTGAAAAATTATTTGTTGTTAACATTCTTTTTTCATTCGGTTTTTCCAGTTACGAGTCCTTTTTTTTTAAGCTGATCGTTTTGTGTTCATCTTATTTTGTTCTTTTTTCGTAACAGATTTAATGTTTAGTATAGAGCTTAGAAAAAATTCGCCGTGTGAGATAGGCAAGAAGTAAGGCATGTAGCAACATCAGCACGGCAAAGTGCACTCCTTTAAAGGCAAGGAAGAGCAAAAGTATTTTAAGTAAAGTGGTAGCGATTGCTGTATGAGTCGTACGATTTTTTAATCAAGCACGGGCAAAGCCCGGGCCATGCTGCTAGTACATATATATGATAAAAATATAATTTTAAAGTCGACACATGAAACAGATTGTCGCCGCTTAGTGTTCACTATATATATATATATATATATATATATATATATATATATATATATATATACGTTTCATTAATATGATCTGATACTATTCTACATCCTGAAATCAACATGGTATGGCAACTGTCAGTTGCAGACAATTATTAAACTATGTCAGCAGTATTTATATTTACACATGATCTATTTGCAATAGAATACTTTCCCCTCTGAATTTAGCAGACTTCAAACAATATATATAATCTTTATTTAGACAATTTTCAAATATTCATATTTCTGTTACAGAAAGAACAATGACAATTCAGAAAATTATATATATGTAATTCTTTTAAATCCTCTGAAAAGACTTTTCTCTATGTGAATGTCATATAGAAGAACAGTCACTCAATCCTTCATTTCTAAAAACAAAATTACTTCCCTCAAAAACCTTTATTTTCTTTTTATGCGAGTGAAAATAGAAAATTCCTTAATGATTTTGTAATTTCGTTTCGACAAGGAAATCAAATCTGTGACATTCTAAGAAATACTCGGTCACTTTAATCAGATTGCAAAACTAAAAAAAGAAAAATTGATACCGAAAGTTAATCAACCTTCTTAAAGCAAAACGGGTTTGCTTGTATTTTCTTGATGAAAGTGCGTTCTAAAAAGTTTAGTAGTCTGATTTACGAAGGAGAAATCAGAAAAAACAAAAATGTTTTGCGTTGGAAAGAGTTTGACAAGAAGTTTGACAAGAAACAGTGAAAATAATCATAAAACGGTGAATATAAAAAGTTGAATTTCTGTGTTCGACAAGGAAGGGGGGCAGTGCTGAAAATCTTTCAGTCCCCCCGCCCCCTGCTTTACAGAATCTAAGATTCATTTTTATTATCTCTTTTACGTCAGGCCGTAATATATAACTTTTCAGCGCCCCGCGTAGATTGCAGGCTTGATTCTGGTTGCGAATTTAAAATAAATAAACAAATGCTAATAGATAAACTGATTACTGAATATCGAAAACTGATTTGCTGCATTGGATCGATATTTGCCACAGAAAGATCAACATCATCAGATGTGAATCTCTTCGAGGGTGTGTGACGAGATAATAAAAAAAAGAAACGAAAGATGACGGCAAATGGGAACTGAGAAAGAAAATTGTCTAAAAAATAAAGTAAAATAAAAAAGCATCAGAAATAAATTTCCAGCTAAAGAAAATGTGCCTCACCCTTTGGCAAAATTGTCAGTTGAATCAAATATAATATCGAACGAGGAAAGTCAGTTCGGTATTTTGTTGAAAGGAAAAGAAAATGCAAAGACAAAAGCCAAATGAACTTTCGACTATCTTTTATTCAGTTCAATATCGATTGCTATTGAATAACATTGATAATATGGGAACAGGGTTTGCTAACACAGCGTTCATACTTTCATAGTGTTTGTAAATGCAGATTTTATAAGTAAAAATTGTAATATTAAAAAGAAGAGTATTATATACAATACATATATATATATTTACACGCACACACACGCGCACACACACACGCACACACACATATATATATGTATGTATGTATGTATGTACGTGTGTGTGTGTATGTGTGCGCGCGCGTGTGTGAGGTTGAAACTCCACGAAAGGACACCATTATCTTTCAAAAGGACAAAATCAAAGCAGTGTTTTAGATAATGTGTGAATCAACACAAATACGTTCAGATACCAACATATATCAGCCTCTTTAATAGATAAGCACAAATAACTTCGTAATGGAAACACGCGAAATAGACGGCAATAATATAGGAATTTTTCAATGATTAAATCATATTATTGTCAATTATTTTTTAATGTAAAAGATTTTCTTTTACTGCATGAAAATCTTAAGAATTTCGGTCATTTTATAAGTTGCCAAGAATTTTCAATAGTTCAGTTTTTAGCTTATTATTATTATTATTATTAATAATATTATTATTAGTAGTAGTAGTAGTTTGGCATCGGGGGCCATCGCTCGCAGTTAAGGTACAGCATGTTTCCTCAAGCCTTTAAAACTCTTTTTAATATCATTGCAGACTTCCATCGTTTTGGGTGTTCGAATTGTGTCAATTTGTTGTCTGATGTCAAATTTTTCAATTTTTACTCACTGCTTCATCATATTGGAAAGATTGCTGGTGTAAATAAGGTGCAAATAATGATGAGGATGATGATGACGATGATGACGACGATGATGATGATGTAAGAAAGACAAAAACAAATGAAACCTTCTCTGAAAGACGGTCGCCATATTGAATCTTCGTCCTCTTTCCGTTCGACAATTGACGTGATTATTCGTAAATATCCAATTGTTTTGTGAAGAAAAAGAAAAAAAACCTAAGAAGTGGTTTAAGATTAGCTTTATCATGTCGACAATCTTTTTTTTCTCTCTTACTCAAGGAGATTTGGATTAGAAAAATAGAAAAAAAAAGGTAAGAAAGATTTATTTATGTGCGTCACTGGCACAAGTGTGCACTGATGATTCGTAGTGTGCATCATCAGACGTCTAACATGTAAAGTGCAATAAATAGACTTATAGGCGCGCTAAAGAAATAAATATTGTTATTGATAATTGGCTAGACTTATGGCAACTTGTCTCTTTTAAGATGGAAAGGATGGAGGAAACGCCGAAATAATAAGTGTAATTAATTTTCGATTAACAATATCGTAAGTAGTTCTGTTAACAAATCGATCTTTGTTAACATAAATCCTTAGAATATTGCAGTTAATCAATATTATTAATAAGGATTTTTGCTAATTCGTGCACGTGGCGCATTTCTAGTAATCGCATATTGATTACCTACCATTGAATTTTTTTTCTCAAGATATTTCGCCCCCTCATTAGAAATATATCCCATGTTGTTTAATACTTGATGCAAATGCAATAAGAAAGGGGCAAACATGGAACCGGAAGTATTTTTATTATCCGGGTCTTTAACAACAATATAATGAAATTATAAGCATAAACATTGAACAATAAGCTTATGAAAGTTTTATATATGAAAATTATTATTTCGGAAACGAAATGAAAAATTAGGCATCGTCATCAGTCCCATAACTCATCAGGGTCATAAAGGCATCATCCATACTGTAACAGTCTAGTTTTGAATTCAAAAAGCCCAAACAGTTTTATTATATAACCCATAGCTGATTGGGTAAACAAGAGATAGGTTATTTGTATGAACGTGAATGTAATGAACCCAACCGGAATTCGAACGGTACCCACGCGCAAGAAATCATTAAAGATCTTTGTGAAAGTCATAAATTCTTCTTTTTTTTGTTGAAAAACAAGAAAGTCTAAAAAAAATTCTAGACTATTTAAACAAAAAGAACAACTTTCATTTTTGGAAAATATTTTTACTTGGCGCCTTTGGATTTATACACTTAATTCTTTTAATCTATTTTTTAATGTATTTTTTAATCTCATCCACACCATCTCTGAAGCTCATCGCAACTCAATTATCTTCCAATTTTGTTAATTCAATACGAAATAAAGAAAATATGAAACAAGAGAGAAAGAAAATGAATATATGAATTAAAAATTTGGCAACAAATCGAAGACAAGATTTCGTTGAAGAAACGAATTCTGCAAAGGTTGGCGGTATTTCATTTCTCTTTGTCTTAACTTCATTTTAGACTTCCACCTTTCAAGATATTTTTATGTTTTCTCTCATCTTCCTTTAACTACCTATTTTATTTTTCTCTTTACATTTCCTTTGGCAAATATGATTATATTAAATTTGTTGAAATCGTGAAGAGAACTTAATGACTCATTCATATGACGTCATTTCTCCAAACGCTGGGTACGATGGTATGAAAATATGAAAGAAAAGTTTTTCAACACCGATATATTTATACATTTTATCTTTTATTTGTATAAATGAATTAAATATTTTTAATTCGCTTTTATTTTTAATTATTATTATTATTTTATTTTATTTATTTATTTATTTTTGTTATTTGGATTTTGGATTTTGGGTTCGAGAGGAAAAGCTGTTAACTTAATTTCTGCTTAAATTGTAAATTTTCTTCTAGCGTCCTGATATTAATTTACAAAAGATTAATTGAAACAACTTATCAACACATTCTGATATGAATACCAACCAAAGAGAAAGAATTTAAAAATCTGAAACGTTCCGTTAGTCTTTGAGTATCTCCAACGAGTTCAAATCTTAATAGGGCAATAAATAAAATAAATAAATAAAATGACAGTTTTGTCTTTTCGTTATTTCTCCCCAACCCTGTTCAACTTTTCATTTAATCAAACTCATCAAATATGTTATGCGCCGTTTCCATCTGTGCGTCTTGCACACAATCTGACCTGTGAGTATCAGATTTTCCAAGCCCTCCTTCCTCATTATGTCCTACAGAAATTGCAACTGACTCTTCCTGATGTTAAGTATAAGTTTCTTTAAAGAGAGAGAGAGAGAGAGAGAGAGAGAGAGAGAGAGAGAGAGAGAGAGAGCAGGGTTAAGAATCTTTTAGCTTTTGTAAAATAACCGATTTCCTTATAATTCGATGAACTTTTGTTGAAAAGTAAGGTTTTAATTAAGTTTTTAAAAATGTCACCCCATCATGAAACCTGTAAGATTTAAAAAGAATATATGAGTATAATAGTACTATGACTTTCAGGAACCTTCTAAAACTTTCTGTAATATTCTCGGACTTCTTTTTTGTTTATTTATAAATTTGTATGTTATGCTATAGTTGTAAACTATTAAATGCGTTAAACATACATAAATTCTATTCTATAACAAATTGAAACAAAAAACTTTTGAAATATTTTGATTTTTTTACCTTTATTGCATATATGACAAAATCGAATTTTCGATTTGGTGATGGCCTTCTTCAAAAACTAAAACAAACTAACGTCTTTTTCAATTACTTAGAACAAAAGTTCATCGATTTATGAAAGTAAGTTTACAAAAATTAAAAAACATATATATATATATATATATATATATATATATATATATATATATATATATATATATATATATAACGACAGACGATCCTTAAAAAAGCCATTTCAGGAATGTACAAATATTCATCTGTTCAGACCGAAGGTTTTTAATAAATGGAGACAATTTATCCAGACAAAAGCAAAAAGGGTGGGGGGTGGAATGTTAGAAAAAAGAAAAGGAAAAAATTTAATATTAAAAGAGGAAGAAAGGAAAACAAAAATTTCAATATAAGGTTTAAAAAAAATTGTCTGGACAAATTGATCCATTTATTAAAAACCTTCGGTGTGAGGAGATGAATATTTGTATCTCCATGAAATAAATTATAACCGAATGGATTTTTAAGGAACGTCTGTATTCATCATTATATTATTATATTTGTTCTGTCACTTTCATTAAGCTCTATTGGGATTAATGTACAACTGTTCTGAGGGAAATTATTTAGAATAAATGGATTGCTTAACACACATACACACACAAACACACGCATATATATATATATATATATATATATATATATATATATATATATATATATATCAAAATTTAAGAAACATATTTTATATATAGTGCTCAATATAAAAGTTTAAAAAATTTTAATTATACTTCTAGAACCCGAACTTCCTGAAGAACGGAAATTTTACCACGAAACTTCGAAGTCGGGGTAAAATTGATATTTAAATGTTAAGTATTCTTCACCCGAAAAATGTACAAAATACAACTATAATAGCCTCATCCAGAAAGTAGGATAAAATAAATACATCATTTATAATAAAAAAGAAAAAGCCAACACTCAGTAGCACCAACTATGAACACGGTCACAAAGTGATGACAGTTTTTGAAAAACAAAAAAAATTCTCATAACTCTAGATGCATCAATAAAAATCTAAACATTTAGTAAAAAATATAAATGAATAAAAAATCCTTAATAATGGCTAAGAATGGCTCAGAATAGCCTAAGGCGCTCGGATGTACAAAATATTCTGACAATTTTTACAAACTTTATGACAAGAAGAGGAATCATTTATACGAACAAAAGAAAATATTGTATAAAAAGCTTAACCGTAGTACATTATCAGTCGACTTTAGTGAAACTTGTATAAAAGTGGAATTGCTGTCCAAATATACAATTATATATATATTAGTAACTATACTCGGTTGTTGAAAAACCCGGATGGCGCAATTCGCAAATATAAATATATCAAAACAAATTGGTATCTGCGGAAAAAATTGGTAAAAAAGAAAGAACTAGAAACATCCGAGCACGGCGAAAAAAAATAGTCCAGTCCAAAGAAAAAAACCCAATCAAGTAAATAAGATAAAACGTAAAGTGCTCAATGCGCTAAGTGGATATATATATATATATATATATATATATATATATATATATATATATATATATATATATATACACGAAAAGATCATCTGTATGAGGTAAATTGTTTGGATCTCATTAATTGTAATTCACTTATATGGTCTGTAATAAAAATTATATTGAGCTCTCTTTTGTGGATCAGTTTTAAGATTTTATATTAATAGGATCTACCTGAATTACTTATATATATATATATATATATATATATATATATATATATATATATATATATATATATGTGTGTGTGTGTGTGTGTGTGTGTGTGTGTGTGTGGATATCTGTCAGAGTGTCTAGTACAAATTTTCAAAATCAAGAAATTGGTTTGCATTGCCTCTTTTTCTTTTGTTTTTGTTTCAATGTCAGATGAACAGATATCTAGAGTCCTACATCGATACTAAAATGTCAGACTCATGTAACGTCATCGTGAAGTGGGTGTTCCTTGTAGACCATTTCGTAGGAACCTGGTATGACTTTTATTTATTTATATTTGAATCTTTGAAGAGAACAAGAAATTTCGAAACAAAATTTAATATGACTCATACTCAAAACTAATATATACAGCACTTCAAAAACTTCCTGATATGAACGTCATTAAACTGAAAGGATTTTACACTCGGCAAAAAATGAAGATAAAAAGAAACAAAAAATGAAGATAAAAAGAAACAAAATAGGAAGATAAAAAGAAACAAAATAAGAAGATAAAAAGAAACAAAAAGGAAGATAAAAAGAAACAAAAATGAAGATAAAAAAGGAAGATAAAAAGCAACAAAAATGAAGACAAAATGAAACAAAAAAGGAAGATAAAAACAAACAAAAAGGATGATAAAAAGAAACAAAAAGAAGATAAAAAGAAACAACAATGAAAATAAAAAGAAACAACAATAAAGAGAAAAAGAAACAAAAAAGGAAGATAAAAAGTAACAAAAACATATGTGCGCGTTTGGAAATAAAATAACAAAAGTGAAACCCAAACAAATAAAAATTGACTGAATTTTTCATCCGTCTATGATGTTTTAATGTTGTCTGTTAAAACTCAGGAAAAAGAAATACAGTTAAATTTGTGGAAAAGCTTTTAAGCGTCACCCCGTTTATAAGCATCACCCCGTTTATAAGCGTCACCCCGTTTATAGTTACCTATTCCTTCATTGCTGACTTGCATCAAATCGATCAACGACTTTATGCGATCAACTGCCAGAGAAAATATGAAGTTGCGAAATGCGCATGCGCAGTTTATTCTTTAGCTCATAGTCGAAGTAGTAATGGGAGAAAAAAGCAGGCTGACGAGAAAGAGAAAGTGAATGTGTGTGATTGTGTGATGTCATCATTCACCGAATGCCCACGCATCTCGTTGGTTATTTGACGAATATCTGTTTATTTATTTATCTCTTCAATCTTGGCAAATTGCATTAGAGTAATTATTTCTCTCGTCCACTCCTTAAGGCGTTTTCACTCTCTTATCTAGAGATTGTCATTTATCGCTTCATTCTAAGCATAGCCTTCACCCAATGTCCTTTGCTTTTCTTCAGATGAGCATCGCTGTCGCCATAGAACATCTTTCTCTATTAGTCACTGCTTTACTCGATTTCCCTATCATTTTTTAAAAAGTGTGTTCTTTTTTATTCAATACTAGCGTACTGGGATTAGTAGATTAATGTTTATCTAGCTTTTGTTGCTATAAACAAGATTGTTGTTATCCGCCCTTGGAAAGTACATTTTAAAAGGAAATAAATCTATTGACTACAATGAACATGTAATGAAAAATACTTTCTTATTATGAAACAGTATTTGCAACTAAGGAAATGCTAGCATTTTCGTCTTTTTCTTGAGAATTGAATCAGAAAACTGTTAAAATGGCAGATTTTACAAGCATCTGGATGAATGCAATGACAACGTTTAGTAGAGAGCGAATCAGTGAACAAACGGTAAGCTTGTAAAAAAGTTTTTTCAATTTCTTTTAGACGTAATCATGAAGACGTGGAGAGGAGTCAAAGAAAGTTCGGTAGGCAGTAAAGTCACGAACATCCATGCATAAGAGGCGGCTCGAAACGTGTTCAATAATTCAGATTTAGTAAAAAAGCCTCAAGCAAGAATATCAAAAATGGATATAAATGTATCGAGAGGAGGATACACATGGACGCTTACATATTGGCATTGATAAATGCAATCGGATCCACCTGCATAATAGATTCGGGAAATATATTCGCATGTCTAAAAATGTGTATAGCCAAACATGCGTTTATATATTAGAATATGTTTATACAAGATTAATGATGCGTCTTATATATATATATATATATATATATATATATATATATATATATATATATATATGTGTATGGTAAATAAATATATGCTACCACACATATAATTACATATAAATGTACATTCTTGTGCATTGGTACACTGCAAGTAAGGGCAATATATATATACAAATTTATATATATATTATATATATATATATATATATATATATATATATATATATATTATATATTACCTAACGTGTACTTTTCTATTTTTCTACACACCTGCACACAAACACACACACACACACACACACATATATATATATATATATATGTATGTATGTATATGTATGTGTGTGCACACGTGTGTATACGTGTGTGTACTTGTTGCGTGTTTTTTCTGTATTTACATGTGATTGCACGCACAGGCATATAAAGTTATAAATATGTATATAAAATATATATATCGGTAGTTGAAAACGTCAAATTATATACGTATATCAAAATTCCATGGTTAATACGAGTTTTTAAATACATTTTACTTGATTTTTTTGATGAACAGAACAGAAGTCCGAAACGTGTACTAAGATTCAGTAAAAAATAAAATAAATATGAAACTAGTTGAAAGAAAATAAAGACAATATTCCTCCCAAAATTATCTGAAAGGAAGCCAATTTGTAGTCAACAAAAATGACCAGATGTAGTCTTCTGAAAATCAGCGTCGAAAAAGTTAAGTTCTTAACGCAGGTTAACGTGCTTGCCAGGAAAACCCAGTTCAAATAATACATTCCGAACTGAGTATTCTGTGATGGTGGTCTTGTGCCAAACTTGACCATTACTAACAAACATGTAGAACCGCATCTCTTTTGCAAACAACAATACAGTATCTTTTTCACATATGACGTGACAGGAAAAATTATGTCGAGTCCATAATACGTTACGTTAGCAGGATATCTGACCGAGAGCAATTTTTCGCTTACTTCCTTTTGAAAGCGATTGCTAGTGAAACTGATACTCATTGAGTACGCCATAAATCTGCCCCCTAGATTCAGTCTCGTCTCCTCAAACCCAATAATCTGCTGTTTGCGTTCATTAACCATCAAGTCTTATACTGCAATGACAATAAGTTCGATCCGAAATGAGGCTCAATAAATAGTGCCTTTTGTCACACTTGATCCATTCCAATATCTGTTGCATTATATTCTAAAGCCGACCACATCTCAAAATAGTAGACCATTTGTCTACTAAACATTTCATTTCATGTTATCGATAGTTTAATAAACAACGTTGTTTTTATAACTTCTTGTAACATGTTTTACTTATGTAATGACAGTCGTCTTAAGTATTATTGAAAATAGAGAGCATGTCTACAACTCGTTTTATTCAAACTGGCTTAGGAATTATCGAGATTTCAATCGGATTTGGTTTCGTTAATAAACCTCTCCACCCACACGCATCGACAGACAGGTTGGGTACCTCGGAAGTGGTGCAATTGTTAGTTTGCCTCGCTATAACAATTACGACTGAGAAGTGAATTCGATCCTCACTGGATGCCCTATACTTTCGGCCTTGTGACACGTCTAAGCTGCTTGTAAAAAAATCACCATAGAGAGGCAGGCTGACGCCAGAATTCGCACTAGAATCTTTGATGCGTTTAATTTCGAAAGGAACAAAGAGAGAGAAAGAGAGTATATATATATATATATATATAGAGAGAGAGAGAGAGAGAAAGAGTATATATATATATATACTCTCTCTTTGTTCCTTTCGAAATTAAACGCATCAATATATATATATATATATATATATATATATATACTCGACTCTTCCGTCGAATTCGACATGATGGTCAAGCAGACCAGTTCCTAGGAAACTGACAGCCCGACAACAGCACGAGATTTGATTATAGTGGTGAAGGTTTTGTGCCGAACCATCCACACTTTTTGAAGGGCCGATTACAGAGACCTGGTGCACTACGTGCCACAGGGTCCCCAAACGACCCTCCGCAGGTTTTGAATTCAGAGTTGTCCTTCTCCTAAACTTGTTGCCAACCAAGGATATAGAACCCAGTCTGTCCTGTTATTTTACCCATAGCTGGAGGGAGAAGAGGATTCATATCTTGAATTCGAACTCGGCTCTCCGATTTCTCAATCCAAGCCGCTACCCATTACTCCACCGTGCCTCCTATATATATTTACAAGCGAAAATTTAGGAATCTTAAATTTTCGTTTGAGGATGAAATAGGTCTTGATACTTTAACTCAATTTAATTTTAATAATTATATTGAGGTTTTCGGCTCACGTTTTTGAAACACGAGAACTTTTATGTAGCGAAGGAATCATATTTTTAAAAAAAATAATTACACACACACACACACACACACACACACACACAGACACACACACACACACACACACACACATATATATATATATATATATATATATATATATATATATATATATATATATACTACTTGTTAAATACAGATGTTTGACTATTATACTGTTTTAAAACGTCTAATCCTGCCGGTAGCGATTCTGTGACTTTTTTTCTCGGCTCGTATTACTGAAATTAAGATGTCTACTCCTTGGTTTTCTGACATACTCTTTATTGTTTCTCTAGTCAGAGACAAAAAAGACAAAAAAAGCGCCACATCCTGCCGCCTATTGTTCAAGAAATACGGTTATCGCTTTTGGAAAGAAACAGATAGTCTCATATTTGTGTTATCATTAACCTAAAAGGAAAAAAAGTTCTCATTTAAGATCTAGATAAGTAAAATCACGCATGAGTTGAAAAGGATCTCAAAAATGTATTCGTTTGGCAAATATTTACACCCCCACACACACACACACACACACACACACACACACACACACACATATATATATATATATATATATATATATATATATATTGAACTATAAAAAAATATCTTCAGACACACTGGGTTGTATATTAATATTCTTTCGTTTTTATTATTTCAGTTAGATTCCTCGACTAGTTTCGCCCAACATGGCCATCATCAGGAGAAGAAATATTTCTGCTTGCTGGTAGCAGTGAACTACAGAAATGAATGTCTTGATGGAGAAAATGAACTTTTGTCTGTAGTTTTCATTTGATTTTCGTTTATATATATATATTTGTGTCTTTTCTCTTGAGTATATTGTTCAAATGCTAAAAGCAAATCTTCTCTAAACACAAAAACTAATTAAAGATCAAAATCAAATAAAATGCCTTTACATTGACATTTAACAGGTTGCGTCTTTATGTAATTTTCTTTTTCAGAGTCGCCTACTGACGTTCAAGTGTAGAGTAAATAGAGAACATTGCATTGTGGTAAATATATTTAAAGGAAAGAAAGGTCAGCTCAGCTGTCGGGTGGAATAAGGTAAAGCCAAAAAAAAAAAAAAAAAATCTGTCAAGAGAAAATGAGAAGATATGTGCACAATGTGACCAACGAAAGAAGCAACGCCATGATTTATTTATCAACAATTTAGTCTTTATGATTTTTAGACGATGACACGACCAAGTCGCTGGTTAATTAACAACGATAAAGTTTTGTTTTTAAGTGTCACATTTTGTACGGACTTAATCTTTATCTAAGTATATTTACTTTTGTACATTCTTTCATTGGTGTCTATGTTAGATATTGTTTTAAATTTATCTGACAAAATGTTTTGG